TAGACCATCATTAGCTGAATAGACTACCATGTATGGTGGTACACCATCATTAGATAGCTGAATAGACTACCGTGTATGGTAGACCATCATTAGATAGCTGAACAGACTACCATGTATGGTAGACCATCATTATATAGATGAATAGACCACCGTGTATGGTACACAGTCATTAGATAGCTGAATAGACCACCATGTATGGTAGACCATCATTATATAGCTGAATAGAATAATATGTATGGTACACCATCATTAAATAGCTGAATAGACCACCTTGTATGGTACACCATCATTAGATAGCTGAATAGACTAATATGTATGGTACACCATCATTAGATAGCTGAATAGACTACCATGTATGGTATACCATCATTAGATAGCTGAATAGACCACCTTGTATGGTACACCATCATTAGATAGCTGAATAGACTAATATGTATGGTACACAGTCATTAGATAGCTGAATAGACGACCATGTATGGTGGTACACTATCATTAGATAGCTGAATAGACTACCATGTATGGTAGACCATCAATAGCTGAATAGACTACCATGTATGGTGGTACACCATCATTAGATAGCTGAATAGACTACCATGTATGGTAGACCATCATTAGATAGCTGAATAGATTACCATGTATGGTAGACCATCATTAGATAGCTGAATAGACTACCATGTATGGTGGTACACCATCATTAGATAGCTGAATAGACTACCATGTATGGTACACCATCATTAGATAGCTGAATAGACTACCATGCATGGTACACCATCATTAGATAGCTGAATAGACTAATATGTATGGTACACCATCATTAGATAGCTGAATAGACTAATATGTATGGTACACCATCATTGGATAGCTGAATAGACCACCATGTATGGTACACCATCATTAGATAGCTGAATAGACTACCATGTATGGTACACCATCATTAGATAGCTGAATAGACTACCATGTATGGTGGTACACCATCATTAAATAGCTGAATAGACTACCATGTATGGTACACAGTCATTAGATAGCTGAATAGACCACCATGTATGGTAC